AACTCAGTGAAACCCTGTTTCAAAATAATATTTTTATAGAAGGGCAAGTCTATAGTTCAGTTTAGAGAGCTTGTCTATCATGTCCTAGGTTCAATCCTCATTACTACTACAATAAATAAATAAATAAGCAAGCAAAGATAGAAGAAAAATAGCACAGAATTCTTTATTTTCTTCTCCCAATTCTGGGTACAGGTCAGATAATCAGAGACTATCTGAATAAATAGGGTTTTGTTTGTTTTGCTAAAGCAGCAACCTGGCAAATCACCACAAATTACTCCAAATTGTTAATTTCTTAATTCACACAAAATTAAACTACCAAGTATCAAGGTCAAGGTCAACCCTATTAAAATTTAAAGTTCACACACAAAAATATTTTTTTTAGAATATTAATCAACAGATGTCACAGTATGTCAAGTCATCAGTGGTCTACAGACTACATTACACACAAAAATACTGAAGTTTACTTTCTTCCACTTCCATGCCATTACCAAGTTGTTCATCTGCCCAAACTTCAAAATAAATAGAAGCTCGCTAAGTATCTTAAAGCAGCTAAGTAAGATGTCTTATGCTCTGATGAATCCAATACTTTTGGTCATTTCTTATAAATGCCATAGCTGCAACTTACCTACATGCCCAATGAATACTACATTTACATGTTCTTTTTTGGGAGCACCTGGTGGTGCAACCACAGATTTAGGTTTTGGTATTTCCTCTTCCTCCTCCATCATTTCTTGGGCACTTTCCTCTGGTGGCCTTCCATCTCCACCCCCTGGCTCTGCTTCACTTATTTCTTCTTTGTGCTCCCATGATTCTTCTGGGGACATTTCTGTCTCTCCATTTTCTACTGAAGTAAGACATTTTAAATCAGTATTCTGAAAAAGACTTAGCCATACTTTAAAATACACATGCTTTAAAACCAGTGGAACTATGCAATGTAAATTCCATTTCCTAATGTCTAGTAACACATAAGTAGGAAAATCTCTTTCACAACAGAAATGGGTAATAGCTTTCAAGTTAGCCTCACTCTGATAACAAAGAGCTCTGACTCAAAGACCACGAGAGACTGCTGTTATTAGCAGGGCTTCATTTTTTACGGACAAACCAAATGTAAATAGGAGAGCTAACATTCCCAACAGCTTAGTTATTCCAGTGTCAAGACAACCTGACAGTGGGATAAAAGGAAAAGCGTGAAAGGATTTAGGAGATATAGTTTCTTTTTCCTTTTTAAGTAATAAAACTTTGGCATGAACTTTAATAATCACCTTGGGAACATGAAACCCTTAAGGGTAATAAAGTTATATAAAGGAGGAAAAATTTTCACAAATAGAGTAACACAACTACTGAAATTGTCTCTAGCATTTTTCCACTCAACTATTTGTGATCACTCAATTTATCAAGGAAGCACTATGCCTGATAAGTTCTCCTTTCTAAATCCTAATAGCAAAGACTCAATAATATGCCTTAAGTTGCAGACATTACAATAATCGGAACACTTACATTTAAACCTTAAATCTGGACAGTGAAAGTTTCATATTACTGTATTAATATGGTCAGAAATTGTCTTACCAACAGGTTCTGAAAGTTCCATGCTAACAGATGAATTTGAACCTAGACAAGAGATTGAGATATAATACATATTTATAAAAGAATATCTAGTTTTACACACCACAATTTAATGTTTTCCATTATAAAAAATTACCTTCACACAATGACTGTTCCTCTTGAGAGGGTTCCACAGGTGCTGTTTAATAGAAATAAGTTATATTTAAAATTAAGGTCTCAACATTGTTTTACTTATCTTATTTTTTTTGGGGGGGTGGGGTTAATGGGAATTGAACCCAGGGGTACTTAATCACTGAGCCACATCCCCCCCCCTTTTTTTTTGAGAGAGAGAGAGAGAGAGAGAGAGAGAGAACTTTTTAATATTTATTTTTTAGTTTTCAGTGGACACAACATCTTTATTTTTTATTTTTATGTGGTGCTGAGGATTGAACCCAGCGCCCCGTGCAAGCCAGGTGAGCGCGTTACCGCTTAAGCCACATCCCCAGGCCCCCAGCCCTTTTAAAAATAATTTATCTAGAGACACAGTCTCACCAAGTTGCTCAGTACTCTGCTAAGTTGTCAAGGCTGGTTTTGAACTCCAATCCTCCTGCCTCAGTCTCCTGAGCCACTGGGATTACAGGCGTGCATCACCACGCATGGCAATTGAGATGTATTTATAAAAGTTTGCTTATTCTATTGATTTGCTTTATAATAAAATCTTTCTTTCATAGACAGTGCAAATGTAATGTGTAGTCCAGCCCAGATCAAATTAGTTTGATTTTGTTTAATAAATATACATATACTTCTCTAGATTCTCTTGATGGTAACCCTCTAGCTCAAGAAGGCTATAATTAGCCCTGAGCTTACAAACCATATATCTTATCAAGATCCCCTAAATAAATTTGATATCAATAAGATAAATGACATTTGTACAAAGTCTCTGAAATACATATAGGACCTTAAAATATCTGCAGAAAAGGTGATTCCAATGATGTTAGTTTTGCCCCACATTAGAACTTGAAGATCAATCAGTCCAGTTTCCATAGTTATCTCATACTCCAATGTCAAAGTATTCTTGCCTTAAAGGAAATCTCCAAGATGTAGAAAGACACCCAAATATTTGAACTATAAACCATACACAGTAAATGATACAGAAATGGTGAAGTTGTAACCTACAAAACTCATACTGGAGTGAGGGAAGACCAGTATCACCACTGCAAGAAGTGTGCCCTGAGGACAACTGAATGGTACAAGCAGAGAAAAGGGTAGTGCAGATTCTAGAAGCAACACCTGACAGGAGCCGGAAGACAGGGATTAGCAGGACAGTAGTAGAAATGGGGGGGTATCATTTAAACTAAGCTTGTAAGGGGACAGAAATTGTACTTTGGATCAATATACACCTCTTTTTGCTTTTATATTTTAAGAAAAATTTAAGGGTAGGGGAAAACTGCTTCATCATCAGAGAAAGCCAGGCAGTGGTAGGGGCCTACCCTGAGCTGACTCTTGGATTGATATCCTGACTGGTCACTCACAAATTTGTGAGATGAAGATTTTTCACTGGAATTATGAACCACCTACCTGACAGGACCACTGAGAAGATTACACTTTAGTGTCAATTTAAGAACTCTTGGTTTCAACAAGTGTTATTTCCCACTCACTACAAGGAGCCACTCCAGCTCAATTCTATCAATTAACATTTCCCGAGTATCTCTTATGGGCAGACAGGGACACTAAACACTCACAAAACCCACATAAAGGAGGTAGGGGTGAGCTCTGCAATTTACTCTTAACAGCAACTGATTTTTACTAAGTCTTTACGTGCTAATTGCTACATCATTTAATCCCTCAAAAAGCTCTATGAAACAGATACTGTAATCACTACCATCTAATACACAGGCACTTGAGAATTAACTGTGATCTTTTCCAAGTTATACAAGTGCCATCTTGCCCTTCCTCAAATAGCCCCCGCTAAAGATCTGTACAGAAGTAAACCATGCTATCATGTACCAAGTATTTTAAGGCAGGAAAAACACTGAGACAACGGGTGGGCTTCCTTACCACTTGCCATATCTGGACTTCCCCAAACCAAACTGACCACCTACTTCCTCACATCAGCTCTTAAAGCTCTGAAATTAACATATACTATATATGTCTGTAAGGGACTTTTCTGGAAAGCGCCATCTATCATGAGACCATCTCCATGGCTGAATAACGTGGCATAATGAAAATCTGTTCAGTTTTATTTTTCAAAAACACCTTGTGATTTGTTTGTTTTATGACTGTAAAGCCTACAGATGGCAAAAACAGCAGCGAGCACTAAAAACAGTGGAGTGCTTGATATGCATGTGATGATGGAGTTAAAGGTCTTCAGTGGAAAGACCTTGCCAAGACATTCAGACCCTCAACCTCACGAATTCAATGGCTATGCTGGTGACACTTCTGAACCAACATCTCTGCAATGAGAAACAAACACTGTAGGATATATAGCAAAATGTTCTTTAAACTTAAACCCTATGTAATTGTACCCAGTCTTCACACATGCACAACCAAGCCTTACTCATTCACTTTGTTCTAGTCTTATCCATAAAGCATCTGATATCCAAATAATGGCAAATAATGAGGTTGGGTTTAGAGTTCTCCTAGGTTCAAGGTCATTTATTTGTTCAGTTAGCAGATGAACATTACGGCCTGGTTTCTATGTTTTGTATATTTGCTGTACAGTTTATCATATTTGCTAGTGAAGTTAGAAACCTTCCTTAGGAATAAAATTATGGCTTCAAATTTTTCAATGCTATCTCCACATTCAGAAATACAACCTTATCAAGTATTTAAATATGGGAACAATTCTAAATGGGAAAGTAGTCAGTGAGCCAATGAATTCAACACCATACTACTAATTAAAAGGATCCTACTAGAGAAAGAAGGTAAATGAACTGGCTCTGATTCTAGGTACATTACCACAAATTCTAAAACAAGAAGTGAAAAGATCTTACCAGAAGACAGCTGGTCAACAATACTGCCTAAGGTTTAACATAGAGGATAATCTGGATCTTAAATGGCTAAATGTAAGCACTGTGAAACACAAAACACAGAAAGGTGTGTGATTCCATTTATATGAAAAACTCAGATAGGGTGAATCCATAGATTCAGAAAGCAGACTGCAGCTTCCAGAAGCTGGGAAGAGAGCAGAATGGGAAGTAACTAATGAATACACATTTCCTTTGGGGGTGAAGAAAATGTTTTTGGATCTAGATGGAGGTGATGGTTGTACCACACTGGATGTACTAAATACCACTGAATTGTTTCCTTTAAAAATATTTAATTTTGTTATACGGACTGCACTTCAGTTTTACAGGGTATATAAATTCTCTTTCTTCCCCTAGTACTGGGAATTGAACCCAGGGTTGCTTTACCTCTGTAATATATACATAGCGGTTTTCATTTTTATTTTGAGACAGGGTTTCACCTAGTTGCCAAGGCTGGCCTTAAATTTAAGATCTTCCTGCCTCAGCCTTCTTAGTAGCTGGGATTACAAGCCTGTGCCACCACCACTGGAAATATAAAATTCGTCTCAAAGTTTTATCATGGATGAAGGACTTAAACATGGAGAATCCAAGTTGGCCAGCTCATCAATCCCGCACAAGTTATTCAAGGCTATGTACATGGCAGGTAATGAAAGATATATTTGATTCAAATTACATCTTTTAAACACAAACATATGACTAATCCTTTTTTTAAAATGCTTAATTCAGGGCTGGGGCTCAGTGATGCAGTACTTGCTTAGCATGTATGAGGCACTGGGTTCTTTTTTTAGCACCACATACAAATAAATAAAATAAAGGTCCATTGAAACCTAAAAACAAAAAACAAAACGAAACCAAACAAAAAAGCGTAACCTATATATTTCATATATCATCAGCAATTTAAATGTTTTTCTGTGTTAAGTATAAAACCAATCTTTAACCCTCTCTACATGCAATAAATGTTTAATGTGGGGCTGGGGTTGTGGCTCAGTGGCAGAGCACTTGCCTAGCATGTATGAGGCATTGGTTCAAACCTCAGCACCACATAAAAATGAACAGATAAAATAACGGCATTCTGTCCATCCACAACTACAAATAAATAAATAAATAAAAATAAATGTTTAAGGTGGCTATCCTAACTAAAATTTCTCAGTCCTGTTAAATGATGGGTTCATTAAAGAAAAAAAAAAAAAAAAAAGTTTGGTACCAGGAGTTGAACCCAGGGGCACTTAACCACTGAGCCATATCCCCAGTCCTTTTTATTTTAAGACAGGGTCTCATTAAATTGCTTAGAGCCTTGCTAAGTTGCTGAAGTTAGCTTTGAACTTATTATCCTTCTGCCTCAGCCTCCTGAGCCACTAGGATTCACGTGCCACCATGCCTGGCAAAAAAGAACAAAACAATTTCTTTTATTTTTATTTTTTGGTAGTTGTAGATGGACAGAATGCCTTTATTTTATTTGTTTATTTTTATGTGATGCTGAGAATTAAACCCAGTGCCTCACACATTCTAGGCAAGTGCTCTGCCACTGAGCCCTAGCCCCAAACAATTTCAATGCTGTCACAGAGGCTGTAAGAGTCTTACAGCATGGAAGTGAGAAATGAGTGCCAAATGCCATCCAATGCAAGTTTCTGCAATGATGCGCTAATGGAAATGTTCTGTATCTGTGCTGTGACAGGATAGTCACTAGCCACGTGTATCTGAAACATGGATACTTTAACAGTTGAATTTTAAATTTTATAAAATTAATTTAAATTTATACATGTGGCTGTGTACTGGATACACAGTTCTAGCTCCTCAAAAATTCTCCATGGCTAAGATGCAGGTCAGTGGTACAGCACCTGTTTAGCTTGGCCCTGGGTTCCATCCCCAGTACTCCATCTACTCCATTCCGTGCTCCCTAACCCCAACACACCTCTTTCACACATATATTAGTTCTTGCTCCCTAGGAGATTACAGACTTCCGAATGACTGCATCATAGATGAATTTCTGGACCTTTTCTCCATGAGTTGGAACAGTGTCCTATATACGCAATCAATTTTTACTGAATTAATTTCCATTTTCCTTTGGTTCCCATTACTAGTTTTTTACAGTTGCATTACTTCATTTTTTTCACCATCCTAGCCTCCATACATTTACTGAATTTCCATGAAGGTTAATAGAATAAAAATGATTTTAAATGTGCCAACTTTTGGAGAAAAGATTAGGGAAATACGGTACTCGAGAGGTTAAAGCATATAGCTTAAGTAAGAACTAAAATTTCCCTGGCACTCAAGTGAACATATAGTCTCACCAAAACTGCACACCAAGATGTTTTTCTCCAATAGTCAATACAGAAAGACAGTAAAAGCAGACATAAGAAAGAAAAGTCTGCAGAACACATAAAAAAGATCAATGGCTTTGTGTTAAATTAATTACCAAACATTTCTACAAAATGAAAAGGCAAAGCGAGGTGCAGTGGCACAAGCTACAGTCCCAGCTACTCCGGAGACTACGGTGGAAGGTTCACTTGAGCCTAGAAGCTCGGGCCCAATCTAAACACCACAAGTCCCCGTCTCAAAAATTACGTAAATAAATAAGAAAAGGCACAATAGTACCAGCAATGGCAAACAGCTGTTCCCAGTGCCTCACACATGCAAGGCGAGCACTCTACTACTAAGCTACAACCCCAGCCCAGGACTGCCTATTTATGATGTCATTCTGCTGCTCCTGAGACAGAGCACTAGGATAATGCCGCAATCCAAACCCATGGGTCCAGTTTTTTTTTTTTTTAAATACCTTTATTTCACCCATTTATTTTTTATGTGATGCTGAGGATCGAACCCAGGGTCTCGCACGTGTGAGGTGAGCGCTTTACCACTGAGCCTTGCCATGGGTCCAGTTTTTGAATGTGTCTCAGCCACAAAGATTATTTAAGTTGGGGCTTGGTGGTAGTACACGCCTGCAATCCCAGCAACTTGGGAGGCTGTGGCAGGAGTTCAAAGCCAGCCTCAGTAACTTAGTGAAGCCCTAAGCAAATCAGAGAGACCCTACCCTGTCTCTACATTAAAAAGAAAAAAAAAGGGGGGGGGGCAGAGTTTATTCCTAGTCGTGGTGCAGTAGGGGTGTCTAATAAACAGTAACTTAGGCATCAGTAAAATGGGACAATAGTATCTAAACACCAAGAGAACGCTGCAGAGCCTAAACATCAGGGGCAGAATCAGCAGAGGTAACGGGTCAATACATGTGTCATATGACAAATATTTTCAAAGCCCTAAAACAATTACAAAAACCTTTAAGTATGAAACATTAGAATGGCCAATTTCCAGCAAATAGAACCAGCTAATCATGCTGGTTGTGATTAGCTTTTAAGTGCGCCCTTTTTTCCTTTATTAAATAGCATGGTGCGGCAGAGAAAGCCCTAAACTAGCACTTGGAAAATCTAGATTAAACTATCAACTGTCATTAACTCTTTTAAGTGACCTTAGCATTCACTTAGCTTCTGAGGCTTCAGTTTCTTTACTCAGAAAAAAGAAGTGCATTACTAGTAGAGTCATTCCAAGCCCTAACAGTCTAAGAATCTACTTAATCAGTCACTAAGGAAATGCCACCTCTCAACTTGATGACTCTTTCCATGAAGTAACTAAATTTCACGGTATTTTTCAAGCAACCCTAAAAGATAACTTTATAGTCCACCTACTTAAAAAACAATTCGAGCCATATTAAAACACGTAAATCAAAATCATTTCAGATAGCCCCAATAAAGTACAAAAAATAACAGAAAAATATCTTTCTACCAAAAATTATCTACCCAAAAGAGAAGAATACAGACTGCTTAGTAGTATGTACATTTTGTTTTCTTTCAAATGAAACATACAATTACCTATTTGGAATGTGATTCGGAATTGCCAGGCTATGAAAGATGATGCAGAAATCCTTACTGTTTCTTTTTCCTTCAAGAACTATGATGGGAAACTGCTTCAATATGGAGGACAGAACCCACTAGTTTCCCTGAGAACAAAGCCATTATATGCTTTGTTAAAATCTCCTGAAAACAAGAACAAAACTTTTAAGAAGCTTTGGTATGGATCAACAATTGACAGAAAAAAAGTTTGGGGACCTCAGAACAATCAAGAACTCTCAACTAGTGGCCAAGTTCTTGCTTCCCAAAGATTTTCACAAACTAAGAGGAGACAGATGAAATTCTTTTTTGTTTTTTAATATTTATTTTTTAGGTGTAGATGAACACAACACAATGCCTTTATTTTTATGTGGTGCTGAGGATTGAACCCGGGTCCCGCCTGTGCTAGGCGAGTGCTCTACCGCTGAGCCACAATCCCAGCCCCTGATGAAATTCTTAATTAACATGCCCAATAGGCACATTAGCCAGAAACACAGTGTCCAGAACTCACTACCAATTGGTAAGAAAGAGGTAATAAATAGTGTAAAAAGATAACTGGTGCTGTACTACTTTGAAAGCCCTCTATACCTTTCATAACACACTGTCTTCCAGAAGAGTAAATCAGCTCTTTAATCCCTTTCAAGGCTCCTTGAGGACCACTTATTCATGTTGAGGTCATTTCAAATGCTTTGCACAACACCCCACATTGAGTAACTAAATGCTTATTAAATTAATTATATCTGAACAAAAAATTTCACCTCACAAAATTCTACTCTACTACTGCCAACTCTTAAACCTTTTGCACTCCTTTTTCTTCAACAAGAAAGACAATTTCATTTTATTTTTTATAGACTAAAGGACATGTCCAATAGCTTTCTCTTTTAGTTGTTGACGGACCTCTACTGTATTGTGTACACACGTGGTGCCTCACACATGCTCTACCGGTGAGCTGTAACCCATCCCGACAATTTTATCATTTTTAAGACATTCCTTCTTAGTAAACAAAAGTAAGGAAATCAAGGCTTAAAATGTCCTCTACATTTCCCTAACTTGCCCTTGTAAATCTTTTTTTCTTTTTTTATTTTGAGAGAGAGAATTTTAATATTTATTTTTTAGTTCTCGGCGGACACAACATCTTTGTCTGTAGGTGGTGCTGAGCATCGAACCCGGGCGCACGCATGCCAGACAAGGGCGATACTGCTTGAGCCACACCCCCAGCCCGCCCTTGTAAATCTTAATTGGTGTCTTTCCATACAGCACAATTTCAGAAAAGGTGATAAAGACAACATAATGCAAATAAAGTAGGCTTGAGTTGTGGCTCAGTGGTAGAACGCTGAATGTGCGAGACCCTGGGTTCAATCCTCAGCACCAATAAAAATAAATAAGTGAAATAAAGGTATTGTGTCCAACTACAACTCTTTAAAAAATGCAAATAAAGTATAGACTAACAACACTAAAAAAAAAAAAAAAAATTGCTCCAAAGAGGATTATTTGCAGGCAAAAAATCAAAATTTTCTTTCTTCTTTTGTTCTCCCCCTCCCTTATTTTAAAAATATTTACTTTTTAGTTATAATTGGACACAATTCCTTTATTTTATTTATTTATTTTTATATGGTGCTGAGGATCAAACCCAGGGCCTTGCAAGTGCTAGGTGAAGGCTGTACCACTGAGCCCCAGCCCCTGCCCCCCAGGGGAGTTCTACCACTAAGCTAGATCCTCAATTCTTTTCATTTAAGACACAATCTCACTAAATTGCCCAGGCTGTCCTTGAACTCATCACCTTCCTGCTGAAGCCTCCAGAGCAGCTGGGATTACAGATGTGTACAATACATCCTGCCCCGTCAACATTTCTAATGGTTTAAACAGCTGCTCAATCTAGCTAGCACAGCGCTAGTTGGCGTCATCACCAAATCCTGAATCTTTGCAGTCAAGCCATTAATACATAAGACCATGAAATGAGCTAAAATCCAATAATCAGTATATTAAGGCAGGGAAAGAAATAACTAATGGT